AGTCCATCCCAGTTTGTTCCCAGCACGGCCGGCTCAAGCTCCGCCCCCCGGACGCCGCCCGGCGCCGCCAGCGCGAGGAGAAACTGAGGCACTACAGGGAGGCCATGGACGCCTTGCTGGGGGTAACTGGTTCATACTGGTTTAGACTGGTTTGGACTGGTTTGGACTGGGAGAGACTGGGAGGGGGGGAAATGGGTGAAAAAATGGGGAAAAATGGGAAAAAATTCAAATTGAAAGGGTTAAAAATGGGGGGAAAAATAGGAATTGGGGTTACTGGTTTATACTGGTTTGTACTGGTTTGGACTGGGAGGGGGGAAAATGGGTGAAAAAATGGGGAAAAATGGGAAAATTTGGGATTAAAGGGTTAAAAATGGCATTTAAAGGGTTAAACGTGGGGGAAAATTGAGGAAAATGGGAACTGGGGTTACTGGTTTTTACTGGTTTATACTGGGAGGGGACTGGGAGGGGGGAAAATGGGGAAAAATGGGGAAAAAATGGGAAAAGTTGGGTAAAAATTTGGGGATGAAAGGGTTAAAAATGGAGAAAAATGGAGGAATATGGGAACTGGGGTTACTGGTTTGTACTGGTTTATACTGGTTTATACTGGTTTGGACTGGGAGGGGAGAAATGGGAAAAAAATGGGAAAAATGGGGAAAAAATGGGAAAAATGGGGAAATTTGGGGGATTAAAGGGTTAAAAATGGGATTGAAAGGGTTAAAAATGGTGGAAAAATGGGAATTGGGGTTACTGGTTTGTACTGGTTTATACTGGTTTATACTGGTTTTTACTGGTTTATACTGGGAGGGGGGAAATGGGAAAAAATGGGAAAATTTGGGGAAAAATGGGGGAAAAAATGGGAAAATTTTGGGTTTAAAGGGTTAAAATGGAGAAAAATGGGATTTAAAGGGTTAAAAATGGGGAAAAATGGGAATTGGGGTTACTGGTTTATACTGGTTTGGACTGGGAGGGGGGAAAATGGGTGAAAAAATGGGAAAATTTTGGGAAAAATTGGAAATAATGGGGAAAAAATGGGGAAAAATTTGGGGATTAAAGGGTTAAAAATAGGGGAAAATGGGAATTGGGGTTACTGGTTTGGACTGGTTTGGACTGGTTTGGACTGGTTTGGACTGGTTTATACTGGGAGGGGGGAAAATGGGAAAAAAATGGGGAAAAAACGGGAAAAATTGGGAAAAATTTAGGGTTTAAAGGGTTAAAAATGAAGAAAAATGGGATTGAAAGGGTTAAAAATGGGGGACAATGGGAATTTGGGTTACTGGTTTATACTGGTTTATACTGGGATGGACTGGGAGGGGCTGGGAGGGAAAAATTGGGGAGAAATGGGGAAAATTCGGGAAAAAAATGGGAAAAATTTGGGAAAGAAAGGGTTAAAAATGGGGAAAATTGGAGATTAAAGGGTTGAAAATGGGGAAAATTGGGAATTGCGGTTACTGGATTATACTGGTTTATACTGGGAGGGACTGGAAGTGGCAAAAATCAGAAAAAATGGGGAAAAAATGGGAAAATTTTGGGGATTAAAGGGTTAAAAATGGGATTGAAAGGGTTAAAAATGGAAAAATTGGGGATTAAAGGTGGAAAATTGGGATTTGGGGTTACTGGTTTGTACTGGTTTATACTGGTTTATACTGGGGTGGGACTGGGAAGGAAAAATGGGAAGAAACGGGGAAAATTTGGAAAAAAAAGTGGGAAAAATTGGGAAAAATTTGGCGATTAAAGGGTTAAAAGTGGGGAAACTTGGGAATTGGGGTTACTGGTTTATACTGGTTTATACCGGTTTATACCGGTTTATACTGGTTTATACTGGTTTATACTGGTTTATACTGGTTTATACTGGTTTATACTGGTCTATACTGGTTTATACTGGTTTATACTGGTTTATACTGGTTTATACTGGTTTATACTGGTTTATACTGGTTTGTACTGGTTTGTACTGGTTTGTACTGGTTTGTACTGGTTCATACCGGTTTATACTGGTTTATACTGGTTTGCAGGCCCCGCCCCCAGCCCAGGTTCTGGCTCTGACCGGGGCGGTGCTCTCGGCCAATCCCGACGTGGGAACCTGCTGGAACCGGCGCCGCCGCGCACTGGGTGAACTGGGAGGGGACTGGTGCGTACTGGTTTATACTGGTTTGTACTGGGAGGGGCTGGTTTGGACTGGGTTTTTACTGGTTTATACTGGTAGGGGGTTTGGGACACTCCAGAACCCACTAGGAGTGACTTTTGTGTGGTTCAGCCCTTACTGGTTTATACTGGTTTATACTGGGAAGGGTTTTGGGTGCTGCCAAATAATGATCCATTGACCAACCCTATGGGCGAGGCTTTGCCAAACAGTGAGCCATTGAATCACTCTATGGGGGTTTGGACTGGTTTATACTGGTTTATACTGGGAGGGGATTCGAGACACTCTGGAATCCACTGGGAGTGACTTTTGTGTGGTTTAGGCCTTACTGGTTTATACTGGTTTATACTGGGAGTGGTTTGGGGGCTGCCAAATAATGATCCATTAGAAATTCCATAGACGAGGCCTTGCTAAATAGTGAGCCAGTGACTCACTCTGTGGGGATTTGGACTGGTTTGGACTGGTTTATACTGGTTTATACTGGGAGGGGGTTTGGGACACTCCGGAACCCACTGGGAGTGACTTTTGTATGGTTTAGGCCTTACTGGTTTATACTGGTTTATACTGGGAGTGGTTTGGAGGCTGCCAAATAAGGATCCATTGCAAATCCCATAGGCGAGGCTTTGCAAAAAAGTGAGCCATTGACTCACTCTCTGGGGATTTGGACTGGTTTATACTGGTTTATACTGGGAGGGGGTTCAGGACACTCTGGGACCCACTGGGAGTGAATTTCGGCTGGTTCAGCCCTTACTGGTTTATACTGGGAGTGGTTTTGGGGGTTGCCAAATAATGATCCATTGCAAATCCCATAGGTGAGGCCTTGCCAAATAGTGAGCCATTTTCACTCATTCTATGCGGGTTTGGACTGGTTTATATTGGTTTGTACTGGTTTATACTGGGAAGGGTTTTGGAACCTCTGGGAGTGAATTTTGGGTGGTTCAGCCCTTACTGGTTTATACTGGGAAGGGTTTTGGGTGCTGCCAAATAATGATCCATTGACCAACCCCATGGGCGAGGCCTTGCCAAATAGTGAGCCATTGACTATGGGGGTTTGGACTGGTTTATACTGGTTTGTACTGGGAGGGGTTCAGGACACTCTGGGACCCACTGGGAGTGAATTTTGGGTGTTTCAGCCCTTACTGGTTTATACTGGTTTATACTGGGAGCGGTTTCAGGACACCCCTGAGCCCACTGGGAGCCCCTCTGTCCTTACTGGTTTATACTGGTTTATACTGGTTTATACTGGTTTATACTGGTTTATACTGGGAGCGGTTTTGGGTGCTGCCAAATAATGATCGATTGCAAATCCCATAGGTGAAGCCTTGCCAAATAGTGAGCCATTTTCACTCATTCTATGGGGGTTTGGACTGGTTTATACTGGTTTATACTGGGAGGGGGTTCGAGACACTCCGGAACCCACTGGGAGTGACTTTTGTGTGGTTTAGACCTTACTGGTTTATACTGGTTTATACTGGGAGTGGTTTGGGTGCAGCCAAATAATGATCTAGTGAAAATTCCATAGGCGAGGCTTTGCCAAATAGTGAGCCGTAGACTCACTCTATGGGGCTTTGGACTGGTTTATACTGGTTTATATTGGTTTGTACTGGTTTATACTGGGAGAGGTTTTGGAACCTCTGGGAGTGAATTTTGTGTGGTTCAGCCCTTACTGGTTTATACTGGGAGCGATTTTGGGTGCTGCCAAATAATGATCCATTAGAAATTCCATAGACGAGGCCTTGCTAAATAGTGAGCCTTTGACTCATTCTATGGGGGTTTAGACTGGTTTATATTGGTTTGGATTGGTTTATACTGGGAGAGGTTTTGGAACCTCTGGGAGTGATTTTGGGGTGGTTCAGCCCTTACTGGTTTATACTGGGAAGGGTTTTGGGTGCTGCCAAATAATGATCTATTGCAAATCCCATAGGTGAGGCCTTGCCAAATAGTGAGCCATTGACTCTATGGGGGTTTGGACTGGTTTATACTGGTTTATACTGGGAGGGGGTTTAGGACAGTCCGGGACCCACTGGGAGTGAATTTTGGGTGGTTTAGACCTTACTGGTTTATACTGGGAGCGATTTTGGGTGCTGCCAAATAGTGAGCCATTGAAAACCCCATAGGCGAGGCCTTGCCAAATAGTAAGCCAGTGACTCATTCTATGGGGGTTTGGGCTGGTTTGTACTGGTTTGTACTGGGAAGGGTTTTGGACCCTCTTGGAGTGATTTTGGGGTGGTTCAGCCCTTACTGGTTTATACTGGTTTATACTGGCAGTGGTTTTGGGGGTTACCAAATAATGATCCATTCCAAATCCCATAGGTGAGGCCTTGCCAAATAGTGACCCATTGAATCACTCTGTGGGGATTTGGACTGGTTTATACTGGTTTATACTGGGAAGGGTTTTGGACCCACTGGGAGTGAATTTTGGGTGGTTCAACCCTTACTGGGTTATACTGGTTTTTACTGGTTTGTACTGGGAGCGATTTTGGGTGCTGCCACATAATGATCCATTGCAAATCCCATGGGCGAGGCCTTGCTAAATAGTGAGCCACTGACTCATTCTATGGGGATTTGTACTGGTTTATACTCGTTCGTACTGGTTTATACTGGTTTGGACTGGGAATGGTTTCCGGACACCCGTGGAGTTACTGGGAGCCCCTTTCCCCTTACTGGTTTATACTGGGAGCGATTTTGGATGCTGCCAGATAATGATCCATTGTAAATCCCATAGGCGAGGCCTTGCCAAATAGTGAGCCATAGACTCACTCTAAGGGGGTTTGTACTGGTTTATACTGGTTTATACTGGTTTATATTGGTTTGTACTGGTTTATACTGGGAGAGGTTTTGGAACCTCTGGGAGTGAATTTTGGGTGGTTTAGGCCTTACTGGTTTATACTGGTTTATACTGGGAGTGGATTTGGGGGTTGCCAAATAATGATCCATTGCAAATCCCATGGGCGAGGCCTTGCCAAATAGTGAGCCAGTGACTCTATATGAGTTTGGACTGGTTTATACTGGTTTGGACTGGTTTATACTGGTTTGTACTGGGAAGGGTTTTGGACCCACTGGGAGTGAATTTTGAGTGGTTCAGCCTTTACTGGTTTATACTGGTTTTTACCCTTTTTTTCCTTTTTTTTTCCCTTTTTTTTCTGTTTTTTTCCCACTTATACTGGTCCATACTGGTCCATACTGGTTTAAACTGGATAAAATCGAGTCCAAAAGCCCATTTTAAACTGGTTTTTACCATTTTTTTGTCTCTTCTTTTCCTTTTTTTTCTGTTTTTTCTATCTCATACTGGTCCATACTGGTTTATACTGGTCCATACTGGTTTATACTGATCTATTCCGGTTTGATTTGTACTATTTCGTACTGGTTTTTACTGGTTTTTACCATTTTTTTCTCTTTTTTTCTGTTCTTTTTCTGGTTTTTACTACTCATACTGGTTTATACTGGTTCATACTGGTCTATCCTGGTTTATACTGGTTTGATTTGCACTATTTCGTACTGGTTTGTACTGGTTTTTACTGGTTTCTCCTTTTTTTCCCCCTCTTTTTTCTGTTTTTTCCCACTCATACTGGTTTGAACTGGTCCATACTGGTTTGAACTGGTCCATACTGGTTTGTACTGGTTCGTACTGGTTTGTCCCAGTTTGATTTGTAGTATTTCATACTGGTTTGTACTGTTCTATACCATTTTTTCCCCTTTTCTTCCCTTTTTTTTCCCATTTTTAAATTTTTTTTTTGTTTTTTCCAACTCATACTGGTCCATACTGGTTTATACTGGTTTGTCTCAGTTTGCTTTGCACTATTTTGTACTGGTTTGTACTGGTTTATACTGGTTTGTACTGGTTTTTACTGGTTTCTCCTCTTTTTTTCCCTTTTTTTCCTGTTTTTTCCCACTTATACTGGTCCATACTGGTCCATACTGGTTTATACTGGTCCATACTGGTTYCAGGGTGCAGTCGGAGCTCTCCTTCGTGGCGCAGTGCCTGGGGGTGAACCCCAAATCCTACGGGGCGTGGCACCACCGGGGCTGGGTGCTGGGACACGGGAGAGCGCCCCCCGCTGGCCGGGAGGACCTGGCGCTGTGCGAGCGCCTCCTGGAGGCCGATCCCAGGAACTGTGAGTGATTTATACTGGTTTATACTGGTTTATACTGGTTTGTACTGGTTTATACTGGGATGGGGTCTGGGGTCACTGGGATAAACTGGGATGAACTGGGAGAGCGCCCCCCGCTGGCCGGGAGGACCTGGCGCTGTGTGAGCGCCTCCTGGAGGCCGATCCCAGGAACTGTGAGTGATTTATACTGGTTTATACTGGTTTATACTGGTTTATACTGGGAGCGGGTCTGGAGTCACTGGGTTAAACTGGGATGAACTGGGATGAACTGGGAGGGCGCCCCCTGCTGGCCGGGAGGACCTGGATGCCAATTTCCATAACTGTGAATGTTTTATACTGGTTTATACTGGTTTATACTGGGAGGGGCTGCTGGAGTTCACTGGGTTGTACTGGGTGATGGTGGGTTTTACTGGTTTGTACTGGTTTTTACTGGTTTTTTTAATTGTTTTTTACTGTTTCTTACTTGTTTTTTACTGGGTGACACAGGTTTTTACTGGGTTTTAACTGGTTTTTACTGGTTTTAACTGGGTTTTAGTTGTTTATACTGGGATGGAGCTTCGGACCCACTGGGAGCGGGTTTAGCTTTACCCACCCTTACTGGTTTATACTGGGAGCTGCTCCCACGCCGCAGGGGCGGTTCCCAGTGCTAACTGGTTTATACTGGTGCCATCCCAGTATAAATCTCACACATTTTAGACCCCATTGTGAGCCCTTAGACCCCACTGGGAGCTGTTAGGCCATACTGGGACCAGGTTTAGGTGATGTTATCCTTACTGGTTTATACTGGGAGCTGCTCCCACGCCGCAGGGGCGGTTCCCAGTGCTAACTGGTTTATACTGGTGCGTTCCCAGTCCACGCCTGGGAGCACCGGCGCTCTCTGGTGGCCGGAGGTTCCCCCCAGGCCGAGCTGGAATATTCCGGGGCGCTGCTGAGCCGCGATTTCTCCAATTTCTCCGCTTGGCACCACCGCCTGCGCCTGCTGGCCCCGGCCAGGGACGGCGGGGAGGGGCACCCCGGGGTGCTGCCCCCCGAGAAGCTGCAGGCAGGTGAGATTCCCTGGAAAAAATTCCCAAATTTCGGGGGGTTTTGGAATTTTCTGGTGGTTTTGTTGTACCAAATGGGAGGTCGCGCTCTGGTGATTGCAATGGGTAGACCTGGTGTCCCAAAGTCCTCATTGGGTTTAATGGGTAGACCTGATGGCCATTTAGTGTCCATTGACTTCAATGGGTAGACCTGGTGTCCCAAAGTTCTCATTGGGTTTAATGGGTAGACCTGGTGTCCCAAAGTTCTCATTGGGTTCAATGGGTAGACCTGATGGCCATTTAGTGTCCATTGACTTCAATGGGTAGACCTGGTGTCCCAAAGTTCTCATTGGGTTCAATGGGTAGACCTGATGGCCATTTAGTGTCCGTTGACTTCAATGGGTAGACCTGGTGTCCCAAAGTTCTCATTGGGTTTAATGGGTAGACCTGGTGTCCCAAAGTTCTCATTGGGTTCAATGGGTAGACCTGATGGCCATTTAGTGTCCATTGACTTCAATGGGTAGACCTGGTGTCCCAAAGTTCTCATTGGGTTCAATGGGTAGACCTGATGGCCATTTAGTGTCCATTGACTTCAATGGGTAGACCTGGTGTCCCAAAGTTCTCATTGGGTTTAATGGGTAGACCTGATGACCATTTAGTGTCCATTTACTTCAATAGGTAGACTTGGTGTCCCACAGTTCTTACTGGGTTTAATGGGTAGACCTGAAGACCGTTTAGTGTCCATTGATTTTAATGGGTAGACCTGATGGCTGTTAAATTCCCCATTGCCTTCAGTGGGTAGCCCTGCTGTCCCACAGTCTTCATTGCATTCAATGGGTAGACCTGATGACTTAATTTCCCCATTACCTTCAATGGGTAGACCTGGTGTCTCAAAGTTCTCTTTGGGTTTAATGGATAGACCTGGTGACTGTTTAGTGTCCATTGATTTTAATGGGTAGACCTGGTGTTCCAAAATCTTAATTGACTCCAATGGGTAGACCTGGTGTCTCAAGGTTCTCATTGCATTCACTGGGTAGACCGGATGTCCTTTTAAATCCTCGCTTTCACTGGGTAGACCTGATAACTGTTAATTTCCCCGTTGGCTTCAATGGGTAGACCTGGTATCTCAACGTTCTCATTGGGTTCACTGGGTACACCTGATGTCCTTTTAAATCCCCATTGACTTCACTGGGTAGACGTGATGGCTGTTAATTTCCCCATTGCCTTCAATGGGCAGACCTGGTGTCCCAAAGTCTTCATTGCCTTCAATGGGTAGACCTGAGGTCTGTTAGTTTCCCTGTTGCCTTCACTGGGTAGACCTGGTGTCCCAAAGTCCCAATTGCGCTCAAGGGGTAGCCCTGATGGCCATTTAGTGTCCATTTACCTCAATGGGTAGACCTGGTGTCTGTTTTAAACCGTAGTGCTTTTGATGAGTAGACCTGATGTCTGTTTAATCCCCATTGCCTCCAATGGGTAGACCTGATGTCCCATATATCCCCATTATGACTAATGGGTCGACCTGATGTCCCATTTATCCCCATCATGATTAATGGGTAGACCTGATGTCCCATTTATCCCCATTGCCTTCAACAGGCAGACCTGATGTCCTGAAATCCCCATTCCCGATTTTGGGTTCTCCCACACCCTGGGGTCCCTGTCCATCCCCTCGGGTGCCCTCTTCAGATATTGGGGTGCCCCTGCTGGACCCCCKGCTGCCCCCCTGAATCATTGGGGTGCCCCCGTTTTCCCCCCAGAGCTGGAGCTGGTGCAGAACGCTGTCTTCACCGACCCCACGGACCAGAGCGCCTGGGTCTACCTGCGCTGCATCCTCTCCCGAGGTACCCGGGGGCTCCCTCACACACCTGGGCCCTTCAGACGGGTTCCCGGGGTGCCCCCTGAATGTTGGGGTGCCCCCTGAATGTTGGGATGTCCCCTGAATGTTGGGGTGCCCCCTGGCAGCTCCGCCCCCGCCCAGGATCATCTGTGTCTATGTGGACCGGGAGGACGCGACGTTGGCCGTCATCTTCTCCCGCCCTGTCAAGGTGAGTGTGGAGCACCCCAAAAATCCACTGGGTCTCCCCCTCTTACACCTKGGTGCCCCTTGGGCATCTGGGGCCCCCCAAAAAACCCTGGGGCCCCCCAAATCCTTGGGGTTCCCATTCGTACAGGTGGTCCTGTGTTAACTATTGACTGGGTAGACCTGGTGTCCCAATAATTCCCATTGGTGCTTATGGGTAGACCTGATGTCTCATTGCTTAAAATGGGTAGACTTGGCCTCCCATTTATCCTCAGTAATCTTCCTCAGTGCTCCCAGTAAGTCTTTCCCAGTACTCCCAGTAACCCAGTAGCCCCCTCCCAGTGCTCCCCGTTTGAACAGGAAGCCCTCCCAGTGCTCCCAGTTTGACCAGTAACTTTTCCCGGTGCTCTATTAATAAACTAGATGTTTCTAAATTCCCATTGACTTCAATGGATAAATCAGGTATCCTACACATTCCATTTATTTCAATGGGTAGACCTGGTGTYGAAAACGCCCCAWTGCCTTTAACGGGTAGACCTGATGCCCCTTATAGTTTCCATTAACTTTGATAGGCTTTATGTCTCTTCTGTCCTTATTGCCTTTCATAGGTAGACTTGATGTCCTATAATCCCCCTTGACTTTAATGGATAGGCCGAGTGTCCTCAGGTTTTT